GGTGGGCTATAGTCCATGCCTTTTAGCTCAAAATCGGCCATTTTTGATATTTTGGTGGGCTATAGTCCATGCCTTTTAGCTCAAAATCGGCCATTTTTGATATTTTGGTGGGCTATAGTCCATGCCTTTTAGCTCAAAATCGGCCATTTTTGATATCTTGGTGGACTGTAGTTGCGCGAGGTGTATGTGGTTTTGCACCAAAGCGAGGTAGAATCGGTCAAAAACCCAATTAAAAGTTGTCCTTTTTTAGCCTGTTTATCCTTTTGTAATGCCAGGAAAATAATTTTTGTTGGTTAAAAAGTCATGACTTTGATAGGACTTGTAACCCTTGTTCATTTGGGGTCTGCAGCGAAATGTCCTCTTTGCTTTAAAGTCGCGAAAAGGTCAAATTGTCAATTGATTGGTCAATTGATTGACTTTCAAGTTGCAGTGGCCGTGCAAAACGCTAAAATGATCCCATATATAGCCTCAATAACTGAATGTCGCGAAAGCTACTTTATATAGAGCACAAATTTTCATGGAGCGCTTATTCTGCCATGTTCTTTTGATATTCAGTGGTGATTTAGGTTTAAAATGAAATTTGTCTATTCTTATGACCAAAATGTTCGTCAGCTAGGATTGGCCTTTAAACCCAGTAGTCTTCGACTTCGACATGATACCCATGATGATGTTGGTGTTGTTCCTTCATTTGAAGAAAGTGAACTTCAACAAGGCATCATTTATCCTTTTTTACTGCATTTTTCAACTGTTTCATAAGAAACACTGGTGCTATTTGGGTGACACTTAGCATAGTATGAACATAGTAATCATATCAAGAGTACAAATTATGCTCAATGTTTCTTGACGCGTTGTTTCATTCAGCTTTGTTCGTGGTCGTGGAAAAACAACCAAGAATAGGCCTGGTGCCTAGTTTACTAACTATTTCACGGGTTTGGTGTAGCGAATCTTGTCGGTGGGGAAAAAACAACAACAACAACTAAAACAATGTCCCATTGCTTGAAACTTTTATTCATATGTGAAAACCCTGGTTCTCATTAACCCACTTGTCTAATACTTCTTGTTAAAAACCCAATTGCCCAACAGTCGTCATCTTATCGTTTTCGACGACGTCTTTGCTCTACTTCTTCACCCTTTTCGTTTGTTATCTTGACGTTTGATACATCGTGGCCTCCTGTGCATGTCATGACCTTACAGGCGCATTCTTCGATGATCTGGAACTTGGATACRTCCATTTTCGCCTTACCCGGACACACCAAGTAAAGAGGGACTGACTTCATTTTGGTTGGAGTACAACATGTACATTGCGAGTCATACAACTTATCGCCGTGTGTAGCAACTGAAGAAGTATCACAGTACCCGGCACACTTAGTACGAAGGTATGTTTGATTGGATTTACATTCTCCAACTGAGATGGTCGAATATTCACCAATTGGTTCTCTTACACATGTAGGAACTGAATAACGATAACAAATTAAAAATGAGATTTAAAAAACATTATTAAGAAGTGATGTTATAACAGTAGAAAGGATTTTTTTTATAAAGAAAAGCGAAGAGAAAAAAAGAGAAAAAGTAATGTTGGATTTCTCAGTACGACAACTCTTGGAATTGCTTAAAAGCTACTAGACCCTATCCTACTTACCACATTCTGGACAGCATTGGTCTGGACTGGTTTTTCCGGTTTTAAAGCCCTATTGATGRAACAAACACAATTATTAYCACTATCAAAAGTAATATGTGACGAAAGTAGGGTGGTAAAATTGCAAAATCTCCACAGATTAGCTTGAAATTACTGAGTACAATAGACTTCTGTGCCCAAGTGACGTAAAAACTTCAGATGTCTACTGTTCTTATTGGCCGATGGTTTTCATATTGTAAAGTAATTAGCCACGCGGTCTTCAGAGGGAAACAACATCTCATTTGGATATTCTAACAGGTCTACGATCTTATAGCTTTCTTTACGCATGTTTCAAGAATATTCATATCGTAATATATTGAAATATTGTGTCTGCGCAGGTTATAGCTTTTGTAAAAAGGTTTTTCAAATATGGGGAGGGTTTCATTTGACCACAAGTAGAGTTTTTTGCTTTTTTCGACAACAGCGGTTGTTCCAGGAAAGTTGTTTTTAAAGTCACTAAATCTAGTGCCAGATAATTCAGATAATCTGTTATATGCCAGAACACATGGTATATTGAGCTAGTTAATCATGCATTTTTTCTGTTTCATCTATTGCTTCAAAACTGTGCATTACAATCTGAAATCCATCATGGCGGCTACAGTACATAGTTTAGTACATAAGTTATAACTAAACTATAACAAACTAATAATATTCTCACCCGTGGACAAGCAGGACAAAACTTTTCTTCGATCTTGATTTGAGCCGTTGTATTAAGTGGATAGCAAGGATTTCGAACTTCCTCGCACGTCATCTTTTTACATGGACCATCAGTCCACTTATCTCCAATCTTTAAAGTAGAAAAAAGAAATGCTTGAGAAGATCCCTGAACACATTTAAATGTACACTAGACCAGTTCAAGATCTTCACTCAACCTAGTCTCATCCACGTTTTTTGATTCACATAAACAAACAAACATTTAAAACATTTTTTACAGTACATACAGGTAAAATTACAAAATCTATAATGAATTATTTCAAATACAAATATACAATTAATAAGAACTAAATAATCCTAACAGGAGTCAAATATCGCACATATGAAATTAAGGTAACTGCTGAATACCTGATGATGTTCAGTTTCGCCTTTACTGTTCTTATAAACACACACAGGGCAAACAGCTGCAACAATACACAAAAATAATTATAAGGATCCCTTCTCATACTCATTAATTGTTCATGAGGTGTCCAGCCAATCCCTGATTGTAATTTGTACCACGTGCAGTGACTGGAAACCAGAGGAAGTACTCCTGCCTTGTATTCTACCTTATTTCCAGTTACTTCTAAATTATTTCCAGTTACTTCTACCTTGATTCCAGTTACAACATACTTATAAATCTTATTAATTAGCCTCAATAGGAATGCAATGAGGACAATTTGAATAGCTTTTCTTTCAGAAAGCCGTTCGGGAATACTCCGATTTCGAGTTCTGGATTGTTCCGTGTTAGCCTCAAAACCAAGTAACATATTCTTTCGTTTCATTGATAGCCCGAGAAAACGCATGGAATTTAAAAAGTTAAAGACAATAGAATTTATTTGAAATCTCACACCTTTATTCTCACAATTAGGAATATTTTGCGCACAAATAAGGCTAACACAGAGCATTGGAGAATTCGAAACTGGATTATTGGAGACCAACAAACAGTGCTTCATGTATTCAAAATTATGAAACTGAAAACCTTCGAGGAGATGCAATAAATCAAAATATTTCTGTTATATGTATTTCCTTCGATTTTTACCCCTCCCGAACATTTAATGAGAGGTCGAACGCCTTGGACTGGAACTAATTGCTCGGACTTGAAACCCCGTCTAGTCCTCATTACTTAAACACTATTCTATATTACTCTGCGACAACAGAAAAATACACATCTTAAATACACATTAAAATCTTACATTTAGACGGAGTCACAGTGGAAGACAAGGAAGATGTCGGTGTAATAGTACTCAATGTTAAAATGGTCGAGGTCAAAGACGCTGAAGACGTTACCACTGTGGAAGATAACGACGGAGTACTAGAGCTAGACACGCTACTCGACGTACTAGACGAGGTGGAGGTGCTTGTTGGAGTGCTTGTAGTCGGACTCGACACGCTCGACGACGTCGAAGTGCTTACAGAACTTGTAGTTGGACTAGAGCTCGATGACACTGTACTMGTCGTTGGTACGCTTGTTGTCGACGGTACTGACGTACTCGGAGACGTCGATGTACTCTTAGATGAACTTACACTGCTTGATGTTGTTGGAGTGCTTGTAGTCGGACTCGATACGCTCGACGACGTGGAAGTACTTACAGAACTTGTAGTTGGACTAGAGCTCGATGACACTGTACTGGTCGTTGGTACGCTTGTTGTCGACGGTACTGACGTACTCGGAGACGTCGATGTACTCTTAGATGAACTTACACTGCTTGATGTTGTTGGAGTGCTTGTAGTCGGACTCGACACGCTCGACGACGTGGAAGTGCTTACAGAACTTGTAGTTGGACTAGAGCTCGATGACACTGTACTGGTCGTTGGTACGCTTGTTGTCGACGGTACTGACGTACTCGGAGACGTCGATGTACTCTTAGATGAACTTACACTGCTTGATGTTGTTGGAGTGCTTGTAGTCGGACTCGACACGCTCGACGACGTGGAAGTGCTTACAGAACTTGTAGTTGGACTAGAGCTCGATGACACTGTACTGGTCGTTGGTACGCTTGTTGTCGACGGTACTGACGTACTCGGAGACGTCGATGTACTCTTAGATGAACTTACANATGGAACACACTAGGTGACCTAATTATTTTGGTATCCACCAAACTATAGGTTAAACTTGAAAAAAGACTAAAACGAATAACTTTTCGTGACATTTTCTCGACTTTTTTCCCTTTGATCAATGTGACCAGACCACTGATGAATACAACACAATATCTTTTAATGACATTGATCTAAAATATATGTTGGAAAGAAATAAGTTACACATGTGAAGACGAACGTTTTTAAGCCTTAAAAATGAACTTTAGCCGCGAAGGGTTGGATCATGACGAGTTTTTTAAAAGTTTTTTAAAAAGAGCGAAGTGAACAAGATATCGATCTAATATGTAATTTGCAAGTTTTCMTTCATGACAAGCAGATAAATAAGCTCACTAAAAACCAGGTAAAATGCTATAATCTTACATGGATTGACAACTGTCACGGAGAAATCGTACTACATGGACACGCATTATATAGAGATTTGAAATAGATCTCGGATAGACGTTTAGACTCACAAAATCATTAGGATAAAATTTGTGTAAAAATTTGTAATCAAATTCTATTCAAGTAAAGAAATATTAGAAGGAACGTAAACAAGAATACCAAATGTTAGTCAACAAAAAAGCCAACAATTATGAATGCACTCTTAAGTWTGKGCATAAAAATCCAAAACGACAGTCTTAGGGCCCGTGCGAGTTTTGTAGCGCAAWAATCGCCACTTGCTATGGAAACTAAAATTGTACCTACAAACAGCCCTACGATTGTTGTGACGATGGAAATTCGCCGCCAAATTGCATGTTCGAAATTCAGGCATTGGTCAGAAGTGGCAATTTTCCACCCACTCGGTATATAAGTTCTCTCAGAAATTCGTACAATGACCCAAATGTGACGAAACTAGGCTTAAAGATAGTTTCAAGGTATACAAGTTTTATTGGCACTTCTATTTTAATTTTGATTCAAGAAATGCGTCATAATCAATGTACAAACATGGCAATAAATTTTAGAATTTTGATTTTGGTTTCAAAAATCATCTGGTTATCTTCTTCAATGTAAACAATGCACTTCGATGAAAATTTCATCCAAATTCGTTAAATGGTTCAAAAGATAATGATAATTAAAGAAATTCGAATTCCTCTCCAAATGTATGAAATTCCCATACATGGTTTATGATTTACACGCCCACCAGGACAATCAAATTCAAATGGAACCAAGTGATTGGCATTTTATAGAAAATTTGTAGTTTTTCTGATTTTAGAAGTTGTATGTCACGTGACAWATAACGTCACAGACTCGAGAATAACAGCTTTCCGACGGAACACCGTGCAGTAGGAAAGCGTTTTCTTTACGTTTCTGAGTGTATTGTATCACATTGTGATACGCTATTATCGTTGATAAGTTTATATAACGATGCACCCCTGGGGATCCTCATTAGAGGACTCGTGCACATATGCAAATTATTGACTGGTTAGTATTTATACAGGTAGATTTCTACAATCTGTCTCTCGCTTGCTGGARAGCAAGAAGTHMTTGATTTGGGAAGCAAACTTAACCACTCAGGCCGTCTTCTCAATTAAATCTTACTTCTCGTCAGGTGTTAGAGAATAYCAGAATTGTAAAATATGGAATTACCAATCTTATCTAAACATTTAARTTAAGTCTAGGTCTTACTGTATTTGTGATTAAGCCCTTATTGCAAGATAATTTGTTATATATAAGTTAAGCTCTAGCCCTCGGAGCTCATACGCCGCATCGGTCGAGGACTACGTTTCCAGTTATTTTTCCCAAGTGGTTTTGTCTGATTTTTCGTAGCGGGCAGCGTATCGTACACCTTGTYACTACTTTCTTCCTAACATAATTTGCTTGTAAACAGTATATTATTGTGTAATTGAAGTAAATAAAGTCGCTGGTTGTGCTGTCCACCAGGCACCAGGCATTGTCACACTCCAATATTGTATATATTGATTATTGCGCTMTGGCAGCGCGAAGMGTAGTAAGGAATACAAGTTAAGTTGATTGACCAGTGATGTCATATGTCACGTGACGCCAAACCTCCAAAATCAAAACAACTACAAATTGGCTAAAAAGTGTCAATCACTTGGTTTCCATCCCAAATGGATTGTTTTGATGGMCGTGTAAACCACCTTAATTTTGATCATATATGGTCATTTGTCGAAAAATTCAAATTTCTGTAATTGTCGATAACRTTTAAACCATTTAAGGGATTTGGGTGGGGTTTTCACTTAAATGTATCGRTGTGATCGTACAAAATATCTAGATAACTTTTAGAATCCAAATTGAAAGTTTTAGAGTTTATTGTCATATTTGGACATCCCATATGACGTCATCATATCAATCACAGTGAAAATAGAATAGCTATTATAACCTAACTATCTCAGAACTATCATCTTGACAAGTTTTGTTACATTTAAATCATTGTACGAATTTCTGTAAAACAAACGGGAGAAA